GATGATGGAATTTTTTAAACAATAAGCTCACTAAATGAATTTGCATCATGGTTTTTAATTTTTGTTTCACTGTGTTGAGTAATTTATTTTTTTTCGTGTGATCACGACAGAAATAAAGACTTCAAAGATCCTCTTGAACCGCGGATCAAACTTTTGAAGTCTCGCTGCGAAAAGCCGCAGAATCCGGAAATTAACGATTATCATCAGCATCATCATCATCATCAACCGGAAATCATTACGAGGCCGACTTGCACGGAAACCGTGTGTGATGAAGTAGTGCTCTCGTTGATGTTGTTGCAACTGGCCACGATGTTCATCGACACTATGATCGAGGTAAATTTAAATTCTGAAAAATGTTAACGCCCCATCGTGCAGAACGAAGCAAATAAGGTAAGTACGCTCTGAATATTTCCAGGGTCAACAATGATCGAGTTTGAATGACGACCTCATCATTTCCGTTTAATTGAAATCAATCTCCATGTTCGTGCTTCAACAATAATGAAACTTTAAAAAAAGTCTGCGTATTAAAGAAATATGTGTCTCATACAATCAAGTATCTACACTTTAGAGAGTGACATATTAGAGTTGAAAATATATTTTCCAGGAGGCTTCAATTATTGGAGCTGAATTAATTGCCCACTTTCTGAAAATAAATGGAGATGAAAACTCATTTTCAAGGATTTTTGTATTGCTTATAGACACACTACTTAAACTCCCTTTGACACAATCTTGAAAATCTGCAATAATCCACATGTTTGAAAGTGAAATTGAGTTGAAAACATTTTTCCAAGGACTTTTTCAGTAGACTTTATGCATAGAAGTTGCATATAGCACACTTTCTGAGATGACATCAAGATGAAAAAAAATTGTCTTAGAAGATTTTTTGTCTTGCTTAAAACACCCTCAGAGGCAATGTAAAAAATGCATTATCATCCACAGGATACAGACAAATTAAGACAGACAATTTGAGACAGGGACAAATGGAGACAAAAACTATCTTAATGATTAGAGGAATCTGCTTAGGTTGGTTCAAACATTTGAGTTTTTCCTTGATGAGGAAAACTCACTTGACAGTGATGATGGACAAAAAGGAGAAACACTGTGGGATCATGGTCTTTTTGCCAATCATTGCAATTTTTGTTCATTTTTACACCTTAAACATAAGATAGTAAAGAGAACCACAGTCAAGTCATTCTGTCTCAAAATGTCTCAAATTTACAAAATGCATTTGTCTCAAAAAGTTTCTGTCACAAATTGTCCAGCATGTCTCCAAAAGTATCCGTCTCAAATTTTCCTTATATCAAATTGGCCCTGTCTCAAATTTGCCTTGCCTCAAATAGGCCCTGTCTCAAATTGTTGATCTCAATTTGTCCTAGATCCAATATCCACACTTTTGAAAGTTAAATCAAGTTGAAAGCCTCTTTCTGAGGGGTTTTCCAACCGACTTTATGCATTAAAGCTGCACTGTATATTTTCTACCTTAAAATTGAAATGAAAACTCATTTTTGAGGGTTATTTGTCTTTTGCTTAGACTTGCACAAAACCCCCCTTTAGACGCAATGGTGAAAATGTGCAATCTGCAATCTGCTCTTTCAAAAGTTAAATTGAGTTAAATATTAAATTGAACCTCTTTTAGCGTACTTTTATTCAAACAAAATGCTGGTCTTTCTTTGAATTTTTTTTCATCTCTTTACTTAATGTCATGACGCATAAATTAAGTGTCTGTTGCTAGGGTGGCAACTACCTACTTAATAAGCCGGAGCCGGGCGACCTTTTGTCGAAACAAATGTACCCGTAGTCACCGGCCACTTTGACAGCGTTTTTGTTCCTGACTGCGACTTCTTCACGGATTCCAGACTTGTTCATCGCTGTTTTTGGTTCTTTGCTCATGCTCATCTTCCTCGGTGGTCTGCTCATGAACAGATAAATAATGCCTGTCAAACCATTCATTAGCAATGAAATAACGCGTACTATATCTTGTTACCCCCTGAAGGTATATGTGTGTGCGTTACAAGACTTGAGACGATGTTAGCAGTTCCACGGAAAAAGAAAAAATTGTTTACGCGAACACATGCGTAAACTACATGCTCAAGATTCATGAATCAAATAACTCAGAATTGAGACCCCATCACTATAGAACGAATATGCACCCAATTAAGACGTCTCGAAGCAAAATGAATTTTCAATTCGTTCAAAAGCATGACATTCAAAGTCCGGATTCAATTTTCATCAAGTGTTGATGCCTCATATGATAAAATTAAAAAAATTTCCTGGTCATGTTCAAGGAACTTACAGTTGGTTTTTAAAAATCAGCTAAATTAACAGTGGAAGGGGCTGATAAAATTGATAATTTCCTTCTTCTGTTTCGTTCAAGGATCGCAAAGTCGTTTACTGTTGGCCTTGAATGGCAGCTTTGTCATCGTTTGCTTCATGTCGTCGGCAGCTGTGGCCATTTCGACGGTGACTCTTATGACTAAGGCCGCTCCGTCTGAAGAACGCGGTGAGAGTTCGTAAAAAAGCTCTTTTTACATTTAGAATCATGCGAATTCAAGAAAACATTTCTGGGGAAATTCAAACTTCAGAGCTTTTAAAGAGGAAATAAAATGTTTCTGAGTTCCTCATTCCTTTTGATAGATGTAATAATTGTTTCTAACATGTCATATCCGTCGCTAAGGTCATTTTTCTGTTGGGAAACGAATGTCGGGCTGGTGATCAGTTGTACAGTACATTACATTAAAGATTTCAACGCCGGATACATATTGTACTGTAGTTAAAAATAACAGTCATTCTTGAAAAAAGCCTCGGAGTCGCAAATAAATAAAGATACGAAGAACAGTTTTGAACGCCCATATTTTAAACACGACTCTCCATCTTCAGCCTGTACATTTCAGTACATTTTCAAAAGGAATTTTTCGAGCCCATCGCCAAAATAACTGATAAATCTTAATATCTGATCAAGATCGCTTTCGGTTGTTCGAGTTGCTCATTTATTCACCGGTGAAATCAGCTCCGCCTGATACTCGTATCATAGACGGTTCAAAGTAATTGAGAAAAGGCAAAATTTTCAAGACGATGAATCCAGCACCTTTTAAACGCTGCTATAAAATAAGTACAGTATGCTTTTACTTACTGTAAAAGCTTATAAAAATTTACTGTATGCAATTTTTTATTTTATTTAGCAGTAATCTCCCAAGCCGATCGAGAAGACCCGTGGAATTATCATTTTGTCATATTTTCAAAGCCGCATATTTATTGTCAACTTTAAATGTTGTGTCCACTGGTCAGAAATTCAGCTAAAATCAGCTCAGGACGGTATTCCATCTTAGGCTGTATGACACGCTGCTCTATGCAATTTGTTGAAATAAATTTGATGCCCTCTGTTCAATTANACCCGTGGAATTATCATTTTGTCATATTTTCAAAGCCGCATATTTATTGTCAACTTTAAATGTTGTGTCCACTGGTCAGAAATTCAGCTAAAATCAGCTCAGGACGGTATTCCATCTTAGGCTGTATGACACGCTGCTCTATGCAATTTGTTGAAATAAATTTGATGCCCTCTGTTCAATTAGAGGGATCCGGCATATAGAATGCTAGCAATTAAAAAAATGTATTCGTGAACCTACGCATTCCAATCTAAAATCAGTTTCCGGAAAGTTTATAAACCTCTCTCCAACTGTCAAGTTTTTTAAATACTGTACTTGTTTGAAGACTTCCGATAAATTAGCATTTCACCGGCGGTTTCCTTCATATATTGACTGGCAGTTTTAATTTGTTTCGCAGTTTGTGCTCTGCGGCTTCGCAGAACAGCGACATTCCTGGGTGTTGTTTTGGGACCCCTGTGGGCCGGAGGACTAATGTCTGAGCCAACTGCAATGCTCGCAGCCGGTGTGGCCCTGATTCTTCTAGCTTTTGTGAGTACTGCGCTGCTGTACAGTAAGTACTGTATACGGTGTACCACGTGCTTCAGCAAACCTTTTTAAATTATTTAGTTTCTATTTTTGTCGCGAGCCTATACGAGTATGTCCAGGTGGGCTTTCTCTACAACAAATTTTTCCTGGTTCTCTATTTTCCCCTTGAATTTCGTTGTAGAGAACACCTATGCCTATATAACGTGGAAAAAGAATCTTATGGGACATAAAAAAATCGTAAGACAGATAAAATCTTAGTATGCAGTACAAGATAATTGCAGAAAGAATCCACCCGTATGTTCTTGAACCCCATTCACAATGAAGTTACATCCGAGGTCTGTTATCATACAGCTCTTGTCTCATTTTGGTCAATTATTTCCATCTTAAATTCCTATCAAATCTGAACACATTGATTTTGATTTACGCGCTGAACTTTCAAGTTTTAGGACTTCAATGGTTCAGTTTTTTTTAAACTTCCTGCGTATACAGTATACATGCTGGAAGCTGTTGACTTTCCCGGAAATTTAGAGATAATTCGGAAAAGTTAAATATAGTAATGATCACAGTATTGACGGTCGCTCTTCGCGGATTTGTCCCATCATTTTTCTTTTAATATAAAATATAGCCTTGAAGTAGCTTGGTACTGTGATCAAACGTTAAATGCGGTACTTTGAAATGGAGCATTCAAACATCACACGAAACATTAACAATTCTTGTTACTTTGTCAGACATTAACAACGCTGTGCGCAAAAAAGATACTGGCTCGTCTTCAACAATTGAACGCGTGAGCAAAATCAATAACCGCCATGAAGCTCACGGAGATTCGTGCATCATTCGAGAAAAAGAAGATCCCTGTTACCATGGTTTCCGACATGCATTTTTCTTGTTGCCGGAAAGATTCTATGTTGATCATTTGATTTAAAAATATGAAAGAAACGTATACTAGTTCATATTTGAAAAAAATGGCAGGGATCAACGAAGAAACCGAAAAAATACTCACGCATAATTATTTCGAATATGTGAGTTTGAAGGCAATCCCCAATTGTGATGCAAATTTCACCACACTCGGGAATGTGGCAATAAAAAAAATTTTTGTTGGCTTCAGCAAATTGAATTTTTACTCAACCAATTTCTCATACACGTCTTTCAAACATGAATTTCGAGTCCAACTTTATTCGAGACTTGAAAGATTCGCTTCACACGGTCGCGAAAGAGAAAACCATCAATAATTCGACAGAAGATTAATTTATGCGCTGAAAAATCGGCACAATAGCAACCAAATCAGAAATTAGCAATCTAGACCAACATCTCTCAGACTCTGTCCACGTAGAGCCTACCAATATTTAGACTTCACAGAAAGTAGCTATTTTTACCCTTGCTGCTCAAAGTTTCAGAAAAGAACACCAGCATAACTTCGCTGAAATGGACTGTTCATCCAGATAAAAAGAAAGAAAACGGCATCTCACGCGAGAGGACCGCAACAAAATTTGTTTTCGCATCAGAGATCATAAACCCTAAAACAACTCACTTTACAAATCAAATACATTAACCAACTTCGCAGTATCAACAAAGCGAGAAGACTACCTCGATCATTCTTCTAAAAAAATTAATCAACGGAAGAAGCTTTGTGCCAGCTGTCCAAAATGCGTCGCACATAAAAACAAAGGCAACGAAAATTCGCGAAATTCCACAAAATGTGTCCGTATCCATTCCGTCATAAATCCCTTAAAAAAGACAATCGCACAGTTTTTGTGCGATTCGCAGTGATCACCAAAAAGAAAAAAAACACTGATATATTAAAAAAATGTCAACATTGGAAGAAACCAAGATGGGACTCGAGAGAAACGAGTTTCAAAAAATTTAGTCCACCATCCGCAGAACGACAAAACGCCATGAAACACGTCTTGGAAATACTCAAAATTGTGGCAGAAAATGACAACATTTTCAGTTTTCTTTTTTTTTTGGCCTCAGTGGGACACAATCTCTCTCACAGCAACCCGAGGACTAAGGTTCAGAAACAACAAAAAAGGCTGCGTCCATCAGATTACAAAAATACTAATTGTCCCATATGGTGACAAATGAGACCGATGAAAACATTATTTCATCAATGATTCCAGCTGCACAAACTTTTAGCATTGAATACAACGTTTCATAGGAAAAACCTGGTGCGGGATAAACTATTAAAACGACCACCATTCAAATTTCGGAAAACGTTTAGAAGGAAATGACGACATCAATAACCCACGAAAGACGTTGACAAAAATAACGATCTCAACAACACGAATTCTAATACCGGTATAAGACAATTGCTTCGTCGTAAACATTTTTCGTTCCTTCGGGAGAACTATCAATTTAATAAAAAAAAATCATATACTTAGCTAGTGTTGCAGGAATCATTCCTCAATGTCGAATGCACTGATAATTCAAGCATCGCTTTCGCCGTCATCCTTCGCCGTCGGCGCGGTACCAAAGTTATTTGTGATGCTTTGAGACACGGAACGAATGGACTGGAGATTAAACTCCTCGGCGTAATCGGGAACTTCCAAATCCATGTCCATGTTGTCCACGTCCAAGTCTGAAGCGCCGTCGCGGAGCACGTCCTCATCCGAGGTCATGCCGCCGCCTCGGTCCCCGAAATGACGCCGGTGTCCATGAGAAAGGTAGTTCTCGTATTCTGAGTCGTAGCCCATGGCGGGAATGTCGGAGTCGAACATGCGTGACGAGGCTCGAGACGAGACTGACGTGTCGTCATCGTAATGATGGTCACCACGCATTCGATCTTCCCTGCCGAGGATCCCGCCCCCGTCGAACATTGAATTCAGATCACTCATGGCACCTGAGGGAGGAGAAGAATACACATCAGAATAAGAGCATATGCACGCGAATCAAGAGCAAGTCCCAACAAAAACCCGCTAAAATAAAAAGAGCAGATGGATGAAGATGCAAATGGGCATAGCTCTTCTGAGCGAAAGAATCTGACCAAGAGTAAGTCTCATACGTGCAAATATCGTAGGAGCGAGCCTAGCATTAAAACAACAATTGCAAGTTGCTTCTCTGATACTGTGCTGTAATAGCTAAATTGCACAACCAACCTTGCCCAGTCGATTCCTTATTTGTAGCATATATATTATAAAAATCGATGGGCTCTTCCCATGAATTTTTGTTACTGATATTCAGGCAGTTCACAGCATTTCAGAAAAACATAGATCGCACTGAAAATGATTGGACATAATTCAGATTTAAAAGATGGAAAATATAATTTCCTGAAGTTTTGAATATGAAAACAGCACCAGTCGGAAAAATGCTAGATGTTATTCCGAAACAATACCGCATACTCAGTACAGTATTTTCAACTTTTAGCAGGATATAATTTCTTTCAGAAATGTCAGCCCGAAATCAGTTCGACGAGATTTTACAACACATTTAAATAAAAATCGTGGATCTACGGTGCTACATTTAAATTTTAGGCTGAATGCATATGGACTGCAATACGAAATCTCGACAGTTTCGAATCCCACGTTTTAATTACGCTTAATTTTCATTGGGCACGGGTTTCAACCTCGTGCGTGAGCGAAAACAAAGGTCATAATCCGGAAGAATTCTCTTCACTCTGTATCTTAAATACGACACGGAATAAAAGCGTATATTACCTTCAGCGTCTGTCAAACCGGCATCATTCATCAGAGACATGTTCTCCAACGCTGGATCGTCAGTGGTGTATCCACCAGACTCACGATCACTTCCGTCATTATCTCCACCCAGCAAAGGCTCCGACAACATGCCCTCTTCGTCCTCTGTTTCGCTCCACTCTGACTGACTCGTTTCCCCGGCACAAACTCCTCCGGCACCAGAGAAATCCATGAGCATCATGGCGCGTCCCTTGTTGGCTCTGTGTTGTTGTTGCTGATTTCGCTCCCATTCGTCTTCCGAACGCCGTCGACGCTCGATGAGGCGGCGAGAAGGCGGATCTTCCAACGGCGGCGGAGGCACCGGCGGCGGCTTTGGCTCTTGAATCCGTTTACTCCGTGCCGCCCCTTCGTCCTCATCATCTTCCAGGCTCTGCCAGAACGTTGAAATCTACTCAGTTGATTTCAAGAATTAGACAAGGGGAAATAAAAAAAGGTTGACAGTCGAGAAAAATGCTTCAGCGCCAATCATTAATATGACCGAGTTCGATTCACTTGAAAACCCCAAGAAATTTGCTCGCTGACTCGGCAAAAAACCTTGTGAGCCATTTCAGAACAACTGCTGTCATGAAACACTTCGACAATTTCAGTAATGTGTAACCGTTAAAACACAAAAAAGGCGTGTTTTCCTCAAAACACGTTCCGAGTACATCAAGAGGAAAAATAAGGTAGGTGTGAAAACATGCAGGAAAAAAGGAATCAACGGCAAAAGCACAGAACAGCTATGTATCCCAAATGGAATCACGCATGCTTTAATTTGTGCAAGAATTTCAAAATTTCAGCAACACGGCAGTGCAGTTATGGACGAGGCTTTCTTTTTTCATTGCAATATTTTTCCTGCGGGGCTTTGAAGTGAAAGGCGCAAAAAAATGGGTCCCCGAAGAATGACGACAAATGAATGCTTACATTGTTGGCAGCAAGAGAGCGGATCCGTTTTTCTTCTTCTTCAAACATTCTGATCTCTTCCATTTCTCGCTCTGCTTCTTCCACGAGCTTCGCTGACGTGATCTCAACGAAATCTTTCGAGTCTCGCTTGCTCGACTCCGCTCCGGATGCGCTAAGCGATGTTTCAGCTTCTTGTCTTTCATCGGCACTTTTCTTGGCATCACTGAGGAGCAAATAGACGCTGACGTGATCTCAACGAAATCTTTCGAGTCTCGCTTGCTCGACTCCGCTCCGGATGCGCTAAGCGATGTTTCAGCTTCTTGTCTTTCATCGGCACTTTTCTTGGCATCACTGAGGAGCAAATAGAAGATTCGATGAGGGATGATACTTTTAAAAATATATACAGTATTTAAATACAGCGTCATTCGCACAGCTCTACATGCAATATTAGTGATATATAGCGTCAGAAGAGACCTTTGAAACAAAGACCAGAATAGCAGAAATGAAAAAAAAAAAATTTCACGCGAAGTGTTTTCAACAGGCGAATAAATTGAAATCCTTTATCCGGAATCGCGACGAAAATTATCGCAAGCATATGAGAGAAATCTTGAAATCCCATAAAAGTCCAGACCCGAGGAACATCCTGAAAATTTAACCGCTGGAAAACATTGGCACAGAAAAGGACGAATACCGTATAACGAATCTTGAAAAACTGATAACATCGTCGAAGGACTCCTGCGAGCCAAATGAAAACTAAGATGTTCTATCAATGAACGTTCGGCACAAGTTACGGTACGATCACATTAGATTTTATCGACTTCCGGCGATGCAGCAGTCGCAGAAAGAATCCCGGAATTACACCAGAAACTATATACGAGTATATTGCTCCGGCAGAAAAGGTCAGTCAGGTATTTCTTCATACAAAAAATTCACTCATCCAAGGATAACAAGGTTAGCATATCTTTTGAGAGCAGCCCAATGTTTCACACGATCACTAATATCAATTCGAGAGTTACGCAGTTTAGAATTAACCGAAAATATTGTACGTCTTTTTCCTATCCGTCGCATCGCAATTTTCTGCACATACAACTCCTAATAGGGATGACGAATAAAAAGAAAAACATCAGCCATTATTCCATTATCCAGTTCCATTCATGAGTGCAACGGAGTACCTGAAAAATCTAAAGTTAATCAAATGTATGGGTTAATCTTCATTTCGCTTTAAGATCTTGCAGAAAATCTTAGTAGTTTATTACTCCGAAGTCAGGCATAAATGAAACACGAAATGGTCGATGAAGTCCCCTAACGCAAACATTACAGCAAGTCATGAAGACAAGGGTAAGAGATGAAACTCGACAGGGCAGGTGCCATAGAATTTCCCGAATAGAGAAGAACGATAGACCATCAGCACCATCACCAGAACCAATAAAAAATGCATCGCTCCTTTCTAGATACCTTTTCGAAAGATTCAAGTCGACGCCACGTTGTCTATAGATGCCAGATTTTTCAGACCACATTTTCCGCATCGCCGCGGGCGAAAGCCTGCTCTGATGAACCGGAATACCAGAAACGAGGTGTCCATGAGAAAGGTAGTTCTCGTATTCTGAGTCGTAGCCCATGGCGGGAATGTCGGAGTCGAACATGCGTGACGAGGCTCGAGACGAGACTGACGTGTCGTCATCGTAATGATGGTCACCACGTATTCGATCTTCCCTGCCGAGGATCCCGCCCCCGTCGAACATTGAATTCAGATCACTCATGGCACCTGAGGGAGGAGAAGAATACACATCAGAATAAGAGCATATGCACGCGAATCAAGAGCAAGTCCCAACAAAAACCCGCTAAAATAAAAAGAGCAGATGGATGAAGATGCAAATGGGCATAGCTCTTCTGAGCGAAAGAATCTGACCAAGAGTAAGTCTCATACGTGCAAATATCGTAGGAGCGAGCCTAGCATTAAAACAACAATTGCAAGTTGCTTCTCTGATACTGTGCTGTAATAGCTAAATTGCACAACCAACCTTGCCCAGTCGATTCCTTATTTGTAGCATATATATTTTAAAAATCGATGGGCTCTTCCCATGAATTTTTGTTACTGATATTCAGGCAGTTCACAGCATTTCAGAAAAACATAGATCGCACTGAAAATGATTGGACATAATTCAGATTTAAAAGATGGAAAATATAATTTCCTGAAGTTTTGAATATGAAAACAGCACCAGTCGGAAAAATGCTAGATGTTATTCCGAAACAATACCGCATACTCAGTACAGTATTTTCAACTTTTAGCAGGATATAATTTCTGTCAGAAATGTCAGCCCGAAATCAGTTCGACGAGATTTTACAACACATTTAAATAAAAATCGTGGATCTACGGTGCTACATTTAAATTTTAGGCTGAATGCATATGGACTGCAATACGAAATCTCGACAGTTTCGAATCCCACGTTTTAATTACGCTTAATTTTCATTGGGCACGGGTTTCAACCTCGTGCGTGAGCGAAAACAAAGGTCATAATCCGGAAGAATTCTCTTCACTCTGTATCTTAAATACGACACGGAATAAAAGCGTATATTACCTTCAGCGTCTGTCAAACCGGCATCATTCATCAGAGACATGTTCTCCAACGCTGGATCGTCAGTGGTGTATCCACCAGACTCACGATCACTTCCGTCATTATCTCCACCCAGCAAAGGCTCCGACAACATGCCCTCTTCGTCCTCTGTTTCGCTCCACTCTGACTGACTCGTTTCCCCGGCACAAACTCCTCCGGCACCAGAGAAATCCATGAGCATCATGGCGCGTCCCTTGTTGGCTCTGTGTTGTTGTTGCTGATTTCGCTCCCATTCGTCTTCCGAACGCCGTCGACGCTCGATGAGGCGGCGAGAAGGCGGATCTTCCAACGGCGGCGGAGGCACCGGCGGCGGCTTTGGCTCTTGAATCCGTTTACTCCGTGCCGCCCCTTCGTCCTCATCATCTTCCAGGCTCTGCCAGAACGTTGAAATCTACTCAGTTGATTTCAAGAATTAGACAAGGGGAAATAAAAAAAGGTTGACAGTCGAGAAAAATGCTTCAGCGCCAATCATTAATATGACCGAGTTCGATTCACTTGAAAACCCCAAGAAATTTGCTCGCTGACTCGGCAAAAAACCTTGTGAGCCATTTCAGAACAACTGCTGTCATGAAACACTTCGACAATTTCAGTAATGTGTAACCGTTAAAACACAAAAAAGGCGTGTTTTCCTCAAAACACGTTCCGAGTACATCAAGAGGAAAAATAAGGTAGGTGTGAAAACATGCAGGAAAAAAGGAATCAACGGCAAAAGCACAGAACAGCTATGTATCCCAAATGGAATCACGCATGCTTTAATTTGTGCAAGAATTTCAAAATTTCAGCAACACGGCAGTGCAGTTATGGACGAGGCTTTCTTTTTTCATTGCAATATTTTTCCTGCGGGGCTTTGAAGTGAAAGGCGCAAAAAAATGGGTTCTCGAAGAATGACGAAAAATGAATGCTTACATTGTTGGCAGCAAGAGAGCGGATACGTTTTTCTTCTTCTTCAAACATTCTGATCTCTTCCATTTCTCGCTCTGCTTCTTCCACGAGCTTCGCTGACGTGATCTCAACGAAATCTTTCGAGTCTCGCTTGCTCGACTCCGCTCCGGATGCGCTAAGCGATGTTTCAGCTTCTTGTCTTTCATCGGCACTTTTCTTGGCATCACTGAGGAGCAAATAGGAGATTCGATGAGGGATGATACTTTTAAAAATATATACAGTATTTAAATACAGCGTCATTCGCACAGCTCTACATGCAATATTAGTGATATATAGCGTCAGAAGAGACCTTTGAAACAAAGACAAGAATAGCAGAAATAAAAAAAAAACTTTTCACGCAAAGTGGTTTCAACAGGCGAATAAATTGGAATCCTTTATCCGGAATCGCGACGAAAATTATCTTAAGCAAATGTGAGAAATCTTGAAATCCCATAGAAGTCCAGACCCGAGGAACATCCTGAAATTCAACCGCTGGAAAAAATTGGCACAGAAAAGGACGAATACTGTATAACGAATCTTGAAAAACTGATAACATCGTCGAAGGACTCCTGCGAGCCAAATGAGAACTAAGATGTTCTTTCAATGAACGTTCGGCACATGTTACGGTGAGATCACGTGAGATTTTATCGACTTCCGGCGATGCAGCAGTCGCAGAAAGAATCCCGGAATTACACCAGAAACTATATACAGTACATTGCTCCGGCAGAAAAGGTTAGTCAGGTATTTCTTCATACAAAAAATCCGATCATTTAAGAATAACAAATAACAACGTTAGCATATTTTTTGAGAGCAGCCCAATGTTTCACACGATCACTAATATCAATTCGAGAGTTACGCAGTTTAGAATTAACCGAAAATATTGTAAGTGTTTTTCCTATCCGTCGCATCGCAATTTTCCGCCCATCCAATTCCTAATAGGGATGATGAATAAAAAGAACATCAGCCATTATTCCATTATCCAGTTCCATTCATGAGTGCAACGGAGTACCTGAAAAATCTTCTAAAGTTAATCAAATGTATGGGTTAATCTTCATTTCGCTTTAAGATCTTGCAGAAAATCTTGGTAGATTATTACTCCGAAGTCAGGCATAAATGAAACATGAAATGGTCGATGAAATCCCCAAACGCAATAATTACAGCAAGTCATGAAGACAAGGGTAGAGATGAAACTCGACAGGGCAGGTGCCATAGAATTTCCCGAATAGAGAAGAACTGCGATAGACCATCAGCACCATCACCAGAACCAATAAAAAAATGCATCGCTCCGTTCTAGATACCTTTTCGAAAGATTCAAGTCGACGCCACGTTGTCTATAGATGCCAGATTTTTCAGACCACATTTTCCGCATCGCCGCGGGCGAAAGCCTGCTCTGATGAACCGGAATACCAGAAACGGCGGCAGCCGCCACAGACTCAAGTTCCCCGAAAAACTCAACATCCCTTAACTCTCGCTCCCTCCGCCGGTTCATCCTCGCTTTTCCCAATTCGTTCAACATCGCACTAACACTACGCAAATCCGCCAGCGGAATATTCGCGCTTTCTGAAACAGGCGCCGGCGCCGCCGCCGCAGCAGCTGCCGCTTCGAATGATTTTTCCGCCTCCGCGCGCGATAAAATCCGCTGAATCTGCTCGTTCCAGTTGGGAATTTTACCGTACCTTACGGCTGCCGGAGACGCCGAAGCCGCCGACTTCGGAGCAGTATCTTGCATTTTCGGCGTCAGCGGCTCCTGTTTAGGCACACTCGTCGTCCTTCGCGGGATCTTGGACTTCATGACGCTCGGCTTTTTGGACTTGTCCGTCTGGCAACTTTGGTCAGTTCTCGGATTACTTTTGGAAGGTGTTTCTTTGGCGTCTCTCGGTTCTTGGTGGTTGTGTTTTCGTCCACTGCCTGCGGACGAGGATTGACCGCTGCCCCGGGAACTCGACCGTGTTTCTCGAACGCGTTTCAGCTCGTAGCTGCCCATGGCAGGGACGACGCGACTTGCAGCGGCCGCAGCAGCCGTCGTCACGTAATCGCTGTCAGTGTCGAGTCCGAGATCTGAGTCGACATTATAGACAGAGACTGCGGCGCAGTGTGAGGATGCTGAAGGAGAAGTCGGCACCGGGATTCCGAGTCGCTTTTTCGACAGCTCTGGTGACGGAACGTAGTCGGAATCCACTTCTCGCCAAGACGAAGACGGCGACCAGCCCGCCAATGGAAAGCTTCTAAAAATGAAATTTGAAAATTGCTGTCAAGTATGAATGCAAATCAACCAACACGATGCATGTACAGTAGTCTCATGTACGGCACCCCTCAATCTTATTTTTTCCTTCTCAACCCAACAATACAGTGCCGTAGAACAAATCGCCCGTTATGTAAAGACTTCAGACCTAAATCTTTGACAGACGCAGTAACTAGTACTATTTTTTACATTTCTCACACTGAACTAAATACGGGGGTTCGTTCATAAGTTTTGACAGACTGGGCTTCCCCTTCTGGTAGTTCGATGGTTTTTCACAGCAAACCATCTACGTGATGGTGATGAAATAAGATTTAACTGCCAGATTCACGTGTACAACGGATTCCCAGGGATTCTAAGAACCATCAAAAGTTCAAATACTGTATTAGAAAAAAATTCTTGGCAGCAATAATTCGAAATTGAGAAAACATGTTACAAAGACTTGAATGCTTTGATACCTCCGTCACTGCAAAGATAGTAAAATTTCCCAAATGCTTCAATCCCGAGAAATAAGTCGCTCACGTCAGGGCTGTAACCGGAAAATATCTCCATTACCGATTAAAGCAAGTCTCTCTTCCTTTTCTAACAGCTACAGTGGTTGGAAGGATTCTGGCTTAGAATATCGGATGCCACAAGAACTTCAATTCCACGATTAAAAAAAAACAAATTATTCTCGGTCTTGAATTTACGATTACTAAAATCCTGTAAGATTGAACTGTCTGCACAGCAATAAAATTGATTCGTCGAAAAGGTGAAAATGACAAAGACCTGTTGGGATGTGACACATGGGGTTCTTCAGGTACACACGCTGGCGATCTCAACGCTTGCAACGCCGGCTCAAAAAAATGGTCGTCGTCTTCGTAGTCATCACTGGTAGCTGGTCCCGGGCCTTCCAATCGCCCAGCACCCGGAAATGACCCATTTGCCAAATATTTATCAAAAAGCGTAGGCCTTTTACTGGACCGCTTATCAGCCGAGTTAGATTTCCTTTGGATACGGGGAGAAGACGTCGCCGGGGGACCAGATGACGTTGCAGACACACTCGTCACTCCTGTCGCCCCATTTTTAGACGATGACGGTTTCGGCTTTGGTCGGAATTCTTCGGCTCCATCTGGTTCGTCGTCATGAGGTGGAAAGCTTTCGTCTGATGAGCTCATGGAACGATTCATGGAACTGATCTCGTCAGCACTGGAGTGGATTCGGTAACTGCAAGAAATGCAATAAATTGTAAAGCATTCCTCAAATCACCCCCATGCCCAAGAATAAAAAAAAAAGAATTTCCTAATAGAATCTCAAACTTCTTCGACTCATTATTACAGTACTTTACTGTAAGGTACAATGAAACCAGGCTTGATTTGGCTTGATTTGTTCCATGTAATTTACATTAATAACTAAAAATTTCAAAATTAAATCAACTGACTTAACAGGCATTCGAAACCTTTTCTGACTTTTTTTTTTTTTAAAACAACAAATTTTCGTTATAAAAATGGGCGGCGAGGAACCATGAAGAAACGAGGAATGATTATGTTGACACTAGACAATTCATAAATGTGGCACTCAGTCGAATTCCCAAGCTCACGGCCAGAAACTGTCAAAATGGCACGGCATCTGTCGAAAAAACTACTGAATTTCTCAACGTTCCAGCAGCATCGCGTCAGTTTCTTCAATTCCCAACGGAATTGCTGTCACTTTCGTTGGATTCTTTTTAGTATCATGAATTGGTTCAACTATACATAAAATCTACAGAAAAGGTAGCAATTTAAAATCATAAGGTGATTGCACAGGCTCTCAAAATTAGAGGATTCACCAACCATCAGTTTTTCAATTTGCGAATTAATGGATGGGCTTTAAAATGATAACGAAGTCAGATTGTTCAAACTAAACGACAAAGTGAAAATCGACTTGGAATCAAGTTCTGCAGCTCTTCGTCTTATTTTAGATTTCTTGCATCGTATCAAGTTTTTTAAAATTGCTCAAAACTGATCGAGGAATGGAAAATAAAAGATACCAGGTACTATCTGATGACAGACCCGTTTCCAATAACCACTCGTGGTGCCTCACAGAATTTCTGAAAAAGACCCTCGCACGCTTTTTCATTTTTTTTTCACATAGATTTCCAGGAGCAATTCCGAGGACTGAGAATCGAACAAACCTGTAGATTTTCGACATGGCCAGGTTCCCGTGCAAACTCTCGTCACTCAAGTGCCGCTGGAATAACCTCTGACCCCCGTAGTACCTATGATGATGATGACTAGCCCCGGCATTATGATGTCCATGATGTGGCTGATACACCGACGAGCACTCGGCTAAACGTTCTCGAATCGCGGCCGAAAACCGCTCATCATCCGCCAACTGCACAAACCGGTTTCCCGGCACCTCCCTCGAGCTGTTGTTGACCTGCGCCTTTTGCACTTTGCCTTGTCTCCGATTACCCGCACTGTTATTGCTATTACTGCTCGTCGAGGCCTGCAACAGCCTCGGGACGTACCTCGGATTGGCAGGCGGATCCGTGGCGGCCATCTGCCTCGCTGCGCGCGTTCTCGGCGGCGTAACGTGCGCCCACGGCGGCGTGTACAACATAGCCGCGGTGGCCTGTTGTTGGTGTTGCAGGCTCACCGGATTGCTGGTTTGTCGCAGCAGTTTAGACGCCTCGACTCCGGGCCCACCGGCAAAATCCGTTTGTGTCGCCCGCGGCTTGCTCGCAACGGGCTTCAAAATCTGAGCAGGCGGAGTCAACGCAGAGCCCACCGGGGTCGGCACGGGCCGCAACACCGGTGGGTTCTGATTAGGAGAAATCCGCGGCAACTGCGGTCCGCCGATAATGCCAAAATGCTGCCAGGTCGTGTGTTGCTGCTGTTGTTGTTGTTGCTGCTGCTGCTGCTGCACCACCTGCACACCCTGCGGCGAATGATGCAAATGTGGCAAATGATGATGATGATGATGGTGATGAAACAGCGGCGAGTGACGATCGTGCGGCGGCACGGGCGGCGGCTGGAGGTGCCGAGATCCCTGACTGCCCGACGTGTTTTCCCGACCCATGGAAGAGGCGCCGCTCGGGTGACGTTGGAGCCCGCCGTCGGGCGACGGAATGGACACGGACACGTTGAGAGGGTGCACGAGGGCTAGAGGGGTGGCGACGCCTCCGTAACAACCAGTTCTGGCAGATGGAACTCCGGCTGCAAAGGCAAGGGCCCCGACTCGTCAATACTGAGCGATTGGCACTCCGACACGGCACCACCTTTTTCGCCCGCAATTATTTTCATTCCATTCCCAAAGCAGGCCGGGAAAAGATAGCCCGATGCAGATGCAAGCGCGGGAAGAAGTACCGAAGTCAGAAGAGCACGGAAAGAGAACCAAAGAGAAAACCGGAAGGGAACTTAAATCAGGGACCCCCAACAACTCGCTCAACAAAAAATATCCAGTGCTTCCGGAGAAAAAAATTTAAAAACTTGAAACTAATGAACAGAAAATAAAACGATACTTGCGAACTTTCAGGACATTGTGATCCAGAGTACATTCAAAGAAGGTAATGAAATTAACTTAAATTCCGAACTCATTAAACCCAGAAAAACGTTCGAATCCCAGAAAATTACACAGCAGAATAAAAATTTCAGTACCTGAAGTAAAAAATAAAAACTCCTCCGTTAGATTTTCTAAAATCCGATCGATTCGGAACTAACAGTCTCACGCGAAAAAACTAAAAAATAAATCAGTAAAACCTATTTCCGCAGAAATACTGTATTACGAAAAAAAAATTCCCATCACACAAAATCGAAACTGGATATATTCTGTCGACTAGTCGAAAGGGTCAGGGAATAAAAACATATCAAATCGAGAAATCGTCCTCGAAATGCCGAGGTGAAACCTCGATACTAAAACTACAAGAGGGAAAAAGAGGGAGAAGCACACAGGTACAGAACTAACAGGCCGTTTGTTTCAGCACCATTTCGCAAAAAGGAGAAGCGATCATTCGGGAATACAAACAAGATTAAAAATGCACACTATACAACTGAAGTGCCAAGCAGGGGGAGAAACATGCACAGTTGCCAAGAAACTGGAGGTAAATCTTTCAAAAGAACTGCCTCTGCAACTACCACATCAAGTAAAAAGGGAAAGGCAGAAAACACCACAATACTCGCAGTTAAAAGAAAAACATTTCAAATATAACAATATAAATCGGAGAGATGCATACAATTGCTGCTATTACAAGAGCATAAGAGGCATTGCTTCACATTTATTTCTATAACCTTTCGAAACTTGCAAAAAATAGATCGCGACTAGAAGAAATTTCAGTTTACCTCATAAATTCGATATGAATGAAATTATTTGCTCACCGGTATGATTCGCGTACGCCTGATGCCGTTGTAAGTCCTCAATTCTGATCACAGATGCAAGCGCGGGAAGAAGTACCGAAGTCAGAAGAGCACGGAAAGAGAACCAAAGAGAAAACCGGAAGGGAACTTAAATCAGGGACCCCCAACAACTCGCTCAACAAAAAATATCCAGTGCTTCAGGAGAAAAAAAATTTAAGAACTTGAAACTAATGAACAGAAAATAAAACGATACTTCCGAACTTTCAGGACATTATGATCCAGAGTACGTTCAACGAAGATAATGAAATTGACTTAAATTCCAAACTCATCAAACCCAGAAAAACGTTCGAATCCCAGAAAATTACACAGCAGAATAAAAAGTTCAGTACCTGGAGTAAAAAATAAAAACTCCTCCGTTAGATTTTCTAAAATCCGATCGATTCGGAACTAACACTCTCACGCGAAAAAACTAAAAATAAATCAGTAAAACCTATTTTCGCAGAAATACTGTATTACGAAAAAAAAATTCCCATCACACAAAATCGAAACTGGATATATTCTGTCGACTAGTCGAAAGGGTCAGGGAATAAAAATATATCAAATCGAGAAATCCTCCTCGAAATGCCGAGGTGAAACCTCGATACTAAAACTACAAGAGGGAAAAAGAGGGAGAAGCACGCAGGTACAGAACTAACAGGCCGTTTGTTTCAGCACCATTTTGCAAAAAGGAGAAGCGATCATTCGGGAATGCAAACAAGATTGAAAATGCACACTATACAACTGAAGTGCCAAGCAGGGGGAGAAACATGCACAGTTGCCAAGAAACTGGAGGTACATCTTTCAAAAGAACTGCCTCTGCAACTACCACATCAAGTAAAAAGGGAAAGGCAGAAAACACCACAATACTCGCAGTTAAAAGAAAAACATTTCAAATACTGTATAACAATATAAATCGGAGAGATGCATACAATTGCTGCTATTACAAGAGCATAAGAGGCATTGCTTCACATTTATTTCTATAACCTTTCGAAATTTGCAAAAAATAGATCGCGACTAGAAGAAATTTCAGTTTACCTCATAAATTCGATATGAATGAAATTATTTGCTCACCGGTATGATTCGCGTACGCCTGATGCCGTTGTAAGTCCTCAATTCTGATCATTGCAAAAAATAGATCGCGACTAGAAGAAATTTCAGTTTACCTCATAAATTCGATATGAATGAAATTATTTGCTCACCGGTATGATTCGCGTACGCCTGATGCCGTTGTAAGTCCTCAATTCTGATCGTTGCCTGCTGTTTTCGATCAGTCAGAAAATAAGTGGTCATGTCGCCCTTCCCTTTGACCTTTACTTTCCCGCGGCACTGGAACTCATACGGTGCGTTCTTGAGAACTTCATATACTTCTTCGGTGACCTGAAAAAATTTTCAAGTCATATAATTTATTTTTTATTCTCACGAACAGAGAAGAAGAGGCAGTTTCGCTTTCCAGCTGACACTGGTTAATGAACACCACTTACAACTAAACTGGCAAGGACCACTACAATCAAAAAGGTAAAAATTGTTGGAGAAAAGTACCTCGTCAAAAATTATAAAAAATATCTTTGTAAAATCTCAATATAATTTTTTTCGAAAACAGAAAGCATCGGTTATTTCGTAATAAATACACATCTTGGTTAAACTAACAAATTTCTAGGGTAATTTTTCTCGTTGCGCTAATTAAAACAAAAACAAAAACGAATGCCTTCCACGCGTTCATCTTTGCAACGATTTCTTGCTAATGAAGCAGGGATACTGCATTTTATTTCTCTAACTTTAAATTACGGTTATTTCATGCTCATTTTCTGGAAATTAATACTTCACAGGTAGCCATTTAAACTGCTCATCCTGATTTTTTCACGTGAAAATACAAAAGCTCGTCTGATTTTTCGCATCATTGTGAAGAGAATGTGCTGAAGAATCCATTTACTGAATCAATACAATGCAGCACGCATTTCTTAGAAATATTGAAGATATTAAGTACGGACCTACACTAAGCCATTAGGCCACCTTAGGTAAGAACTTCGGTGTAAGTGTCACAAAGGGGTCTATAGCTTGACGCCAAAGGACCGTGGCTAGTGCGGTCGCTGATGACCAGGTTGATTAACACCAACCCGCATCGAGAAATTGTTGTACGAATTCTCATTGATGTTGTACAATTTATCCCTCAGGCAGAACACGTATTCCATCAGTACGGACATGAAATAAACCGCGGATTCCGGATTATTCTCTTGGATGCGCAATTCTGGCATCAGTCCAACTGAAGCCATGTAAGTGGATCCGACAGTCTTGATTTTGTCGATTGCCTGAAACTCTTCCCGTTCCAAAAGCTCATCAAAGTCTGCAATGATCTCGTTGAGTAACCGCAAGCATTCCATTCCTTGATTGTTCGCGTCGAGCTCCATATAAAATTCGTTGAAGTTCGTGATCGATGCAAACATCACCCCGACTCTACTGTAGCTTTCGTGATACAATTCCTGCGAATCACAAGCATTCAGATTTTCATTTGCCTCCGAAACGCTTGAATCAGAGGGTTTGATAATCTGAAACGTTCGAATAAATAAATAAAACAAACTTCACTCACGTCGTTGTTTCGGAAAGGATTGTCCAAAAAATGTGTGGCAACGTGTGCAGGAAGTAAGTTGAACAAGATCCGACGATTGCTCAATTGCAACGCATCCATGTCGCATTTTTCGTCGTTCGCCTATTAACACACAATACGCAGACGACTCAGCCTATCGTATTTCAATTCAAATCGACGATGAATAACTATTTTTGAAACGTAACACACGAGACCTACGCCTATAATACTTGAGCTCTTCGAATATGGAGTCAAACAGGAATCTCCAATTTTTCAAACAGTATTTTACTTTTCTAGACATTTTTCGTAAAAAAAAAACAGCGTTATTCGATTCAACGCGTGTATGATGAAATTAACATTCTAGAATGAACTGCGAGTGTCTTACCAAATGCCAATAAACTCCCATTTCGACAAAATACATCATCGCAATACCGTAAGTGACGCACTGTTTTTTCGATTCCTGCTTCTATCCAGTTTAATTAATAAGCTCGGCTAATTAATTTAGCCCGTGGTGTTACTTCGGGATAACATTACTGCATTTAGATTCGGTAAAAAAAAAAAGCGCGTTCCACTCGAACTTTACGGCTTTAAATCGTAGGAATTCTGAAAATGAAAGCAATCCAGACTCCGGAGAGATGACATGGAAATCCTTACCTGGACTTGCCATAGGAAATCCAAGCGTGCCGTCCATTCCACTTGTCGTCCATGGATCAAAATGGCCAACATGAACATGATCAAATGCAAGACTCCGAACGCGGCAGACGGGATTTCGCCGCCGACACGCACGTCATAGCATTCAAAGAGTCCCGGATGCGATAGTAAAATAAGCAAAACGTACACAGTTGCCATTGCAGAGAGCATCAAACTCTTCACCAAAATCGGCAGTCGGAGAAACACTGACACTGCCAAAAAGCCCAGGATCCCCGACATCACAACGTACTGCGGGAACGGACAGGACCGGTGATCATTCGCCTTACCGTGCATGCGGAGAGACTACCAAGGTAAACGCAACTGCCCACTCGTCCCTACGAGATGTGCCGTTCACTTTTGCAAGTGGACCTTAGCCTTGGTAATGGGAATAAATAGTTGTTGTGTAAGGACACCAAAAGGATAAAAGAATATCTGTAAATATATTTTTTTATTTTGAAAGAAAAAATCAGGATGCGTCCCACTTACAGTTCTTGGCGCCTGAAGCTCCCCTCATATTATTATTGTTTCAAGTGACGTAGCAGATATAATACTGCTTGCAAGGTTAACATTACAATGGTAGCAAGAATAAGAAGGATCATTCAACATATTTTGCATAATCCCAGTTTAATTTTTAAGGGGATATTTTGATCTAACGATTGGTGAACTTTTATAATCAGACAACGTAAGAGAATTTCTGCCATATTGTGAAGCAAGTGAGAGCTGATTGTGAAATCAATGACAGACTTGCTCACAGTCGAAACCTATCATCCAGGATTTTGATCGCGTGTATGCACAGATGATCAAGTAGAGTAAAAAAAAAAAAAATTACGAACCAGTAAAATAGCTTCGTTATAAAGTAATTGAAAATTCTTCGTAAAGAAACTCAAATGAAATTGGGGCTATTGGGCAGGAAGAAAAAAATTAATTCGCCAGAATCGATTTTTCGTTGTAACGAGATTCTACTGTAACACAGATATTTCACCTCGTAGTCGAATAAAATTATTCTTCAGCTACACAACATTTACTCAAAGATGACTTGGCATTATTTTATTGTATTCCGCACGCCTATCTCACATATACCTATATTAATTTCAGGCATTTCGTTAAAAAAATTGGAAGATGAAGCGCCTCGCATCGACTTAATTAAAGAGGCATTATGATAAAAAAAAGACTGCTCAGTCTCTTCCGAGAGAAACGAAAATTCGACAGGGTAAACCAAAATAAGTCCAAATTATAGGACTATATCTACGGTACTGTGTAGGTCTATTCGATCCTCTGTTCGCGTGAAGAAAAAAACAAAAACAAAAAACAGCAGTCCAGCACGCCAACACCTCACCTGGGCAGTGGCGTACACCAGAATCAAGCTGAACAGCGCCAGCGCCAGAGCGTCGCCGCCGCACGGGAACCGGTTTAGGGTCCGGTTCTCGGCGTTTGCACGGCGGTAGTCCTCGTAGTCGCACTGCCTGTTGGTGCGTTTGCGCCAGTCCTTGTCGTCCTCGTTTTACTCGCAGCTCGGAAGCACCAATGCTTGCATCCCGCCGCCAAGCACCAGGAGACACAGACAGCACACCAGCGCCCCGCCGAGCCCAACGTCGAACTCCTCGTGAAACTGACGCTCTTTGTCCGAGTCGCGGAAGCAGAGCGTCATGGGGTGAACGTGGTTGGACTTTTCTCGGTCCACGGAACGGGCTTCAATGGCTTGTGCGAGGTACTTATTCACTCGGCTCGTGGGCTGCTGATGATAGTGATAGCCTCCGCTGCCACCGCTCGCAGGGAACGCGGCTCCGACTGCCGACGAGTGCCTTTTCTTGAACGGTCTCCGCAGTTTGTCAGTCACCTTCGTCTGAGGACAAAAAATAAACACGTTTTTCAATTTTTGTTCGAGACGCGGGATTCATCATCACATTCCCGCAATAATTGGCCCAAATAAATCAGGATGTATCTTATTCTCAAAGATGTGTCTTCAATTTGAATGTACTGTACTGTAAAGTAGAACACCGATTATCCTGACTAATTGGGCCCAACGGTAGTTCCGATTTCCAAATGCTCGGATAAGTGGACGACGGTTAATTTACATATGCAAATTGTTTATGCACTGACAATAATTTGAACTGCACATTCTCCAGATAAGCAGCCTTCCTCACGCACACTTCTTTCTAAATTAAAAGAGAAATTAAACTTCCGCGTAAACCTATACAAAAATGAAGCTGAAATCGGACTTTGGGTGGAAAATTGGTTCGAATAATCAGAGTTCTGCTACAATTTCATTGCTCTTGGCCTTCACAATCATTCGAATAAAAATGGTCCAATGATCAATGAAATAAATCCTAGCTATAAAGTTCCAGACAGACACATCGAAATATTTCTTACAAGCTAGACATTACTGATGTTCTGCGCCTTCCAAGAAATCAACTTGAAATTTGCACACTACCATTTGAGTTGTTATGTTCTTCATTCTTCACACAATAGAAAGCAAAGACTTGGACAATGGCTTGTGCGAGGTACTTATTCACTCGGCTCGTGGGCTGCTGATGATAGTGATAGCCTCCGCTGCCACCGCTCGCAGGGAACGCGGCTCCGACTGCCGACGAGTGCCTTTTCTTGAACGGTCTGCGCAGTTTGTCAGTCACCTTCGTCTGAGGACAAAAAATGAATGCGTTTTATTTTATTTTATTTTTGTTCGAGACGCGGGATTCATCATCACATTTTCGCAATAATTGGCCCAAATAAATCAGGATGTATCTTATTCTCAAAGATGTGTCTTCAATTTGAATGTACTGTACTGTAAAGTAGAACACCGATTATCCTGACTAATTGGGCCCAAGGGTAGTTCCGATTTCCAAATGCTCGGATAAGTGGACGACGGTTAATTTACACATGCAAATTGTTTATGCACCGATAATAATTTGAACTGCACATTCTCCAGACAAGCAGCCTTCCTCACGCACACTTCTTTCTCAATTAAAAGAGAAATTAAACTTCCGCGTAAACCTATACAAAAATTAAGCTGAAATCGGACTTCGGGTGGAAAATTGGTTGGAATAATCAGAGTTCTGCTACAATTTCATTGCTCTTGGCCTTCACAATCATTTGAATAAAAATGGTCCAATAATCAAAGAAATAAATCCTTGCTATAAAGTTCCAGACAGACACATCTTTTATAAAGAATGTTCGATCTGTAATGACTACAAGACGCGGAAGGTTCTTTAGTTGAACTTTAAACGTGTGATGGTAAACTCAACAATACAAGAAGTAAGAAGTGTGTTATCTTTCGTTTCTGAACCATAAATCCGAATACGTTTTAAGCGGACTCTCAATAGGAAATGCTTCTCATATTCAAGGAAAACATGGTTCCAATTTTTGAAGGCACTTGAAGGCAAAAATAAAGGTGAGCTTTCTTCTTATGATCTTATTATACTGCACATAAGGATCGTGTTTATTCCTCATTAGCCTGTTCAACCATGCTTTAATAAGGGCTTCTTCCTGAATGCTGCCAGGTTTCTTCATTACGTTAATACTGGCCCCCAACATTAATGAACGGCCTCTCGACTTTTTATTTCACACGATTAACTAAAGAAACACTTCAGAACATACCTGGGATTCACAAGATCACATTCAATCAACCCGCACGGTTTAATTATAAAGCATAATCAAAACTAACAAAGCATAATGAAGTAACTTCGCACATGTACGTAAGAGAAAACGTCTTCGAGGAAACGTGTGGCGGTACAGGTGGGTGCATCCCAAGAAATTGCCAATAAAAAAAAACACACACACACACGAACACAAAACGGAGCAAGTGGATAAAAAGTCAAGTACAGAGCAACATACAAATATGAACAATTATTAACAAAAAATGTGCAAAGATTGCCTTGACTTTGTTCGGTTTTATTCCCAAGGACATTTTGTTCGTTAAAAGCTTTCATAAGCTAACCTTGACAATCTACACCATGGTCGACACTGAGAAAACTAGTTCGTGTGAGAGCTACTTCGAACTTTTTTAAATATTGGCAGTAGCCGATTCGGCGCGCTCCATTGTCCCGATTGAGAATGTACAATATAGCACTTATTATGACATCCTGTTCGAAACATGATTCCTTGTACTGATCATTGCTTACGGAAATTATGCATTCATAAATATTCTACAGAAAATGTGCGAACTCCATCTTCCTTGATTCGAAACCACAGGGAGAAGGTGATATACAAACGTTAAAATACCCGAAGAGTAGCACAATCCAGAAAAAAAGTCAGAAAGTCCAGTGCTAGAGAATATTATGCCAAGTGAAAAAAACTTATTCCTGTTTTGAGTCCCTTGAAAGAAAGGTTGACCAGTAATTCACCTGAAAAAGGTACCACATTAGCCTTTCACAAAGAAGATTATGGAACCAGACGAAGAATAGATTAACATAGAAAAATTACGCATCTCGCGGATCATCAACTCGGCTTTAAATTAGATCAGCAGCAATGCGAAATGTCTAAATTGTCTTCATTTATAAACGCAAGACAAAACTAGCTCGAGAAATTCAACAGTCATCTCAGATACAGAAATTTGCAATTTATCTGATATAGAACCCCTTCAAAAAGTGGCAGCCGAGACACTTTCATGTTCTCATCAACAACAAGCCTCCTCACGCAACCGGCGAATTCCTTCACCAATGGCGCGAGGAATAGCGACACGGGTTATCGCGCTCAGCCGCAATTACAGCTCTGGTAATAACCGTGAAGTACTCGTTAATATCAAATGCTACTTCATTCTCGATACACGCCAGAGCGCCCCGGAAACATAATCATGATAATATTAACTGTATAATAATAATAATAAGGCGAGCAGGTACGGGTCAAGAAACTCGTGTCGTGATATGACGCGCACTCGAAGTGCTTCGCTCAAGGTTCTGCGGCCTTGATATTCGAACATGATTCTTGACTAAAAGCAAACAATACGACGTATAATATTTTTTCAAAGTTTTTCGATACGGTAAAAACATACTGCATTAACAAAACACTTAAGAAAAAAGACGCACGCAAAACTATGATATTTTCGAAGATAGGGTTTCGGTGTTCCAGACATTAATAGCTATATACAGCATCACGCAACGCAATGGCGAGAGTTTTGAAGTTTTAATTGACCAATTTTGATCGCATTCCTTGAAGTTAACTATGATATTTTCGAAGATAGGGTTTCGGTGTTCCAGACATTAATAGCTATATACAGCATCACGCAACGCAATGGCGAGAGTTTTGAAGTTTTAATTGACCAATTTTGATCGCATTCCTTGAAGTTGAATAAATAAAACGAGACAACTTCCTTCTCCCTTCAGTTGCCAAAAATCTCTATCGGTTTACGCAGCCGTGCTCTGACACAAAACTTTTAGCGTGTGGGCGTTTTAAAAATAAGTATGGCTCCGGCGAAAAATATGGAAATATGAATGATTTCCCTTGCTTCGGTTTGACATGGCGAAAAATGCACTACAGGCAGCGTTGGAGCTCCCAAAATTTTTTTCAGCCATTTTTTAGACATACTGATGCGTACGAAATACTTCATTAGTCCAGAAACAAGGGACAGCCAAAAACGAAAAAGGGAGGGAATTCATTTGTTAAAAAATGATAGAAATTAAAATTTTACTGAACTCTAGGGGATATATATACGGATTATTCCCAGCAAAAACTATCCTAAAGTACTTTTATTAATTATCTTTCCAAATCGGGGCTACGAATAGGAATTCATTATTTACAAAAATGATAATCAAATTTTACTGAAATATCAATATATGCACTGATGATTATATTCATTATTCCCAGGGAAAATATGATACTTTCATAATTTATCTTTCCATACAGGGATGACGAAATCGTAGAAACCCAAGTTTAGCACTGCCCTCGCAAATAATCACTCAAAGACGATACCGTACTGCATAAAAGTATAATCATCTTAGAAAAATTTCCAGAAGACATTTACGTCCTATTTTAGCCCACTACGAATAAAATTCAAGGAACCAACAACCCTCATATATCTCACCATAACTCACTCGACAATTTTAAAATGAGCTCTTCAGAATAAAATCAAAAAAGAAAATACTACAAGAGATACTGGAGTAGATTAACACAAAATTTCCAGAAGACATTTACGTCCTATTTTAGCCCACTACGAATAAAATTCAAGGAACAAACAACCCTCGTATACCTCACAATAACTCACTCGACAATTTTACAATGAGCTCTTCAGAATAAACTTTAAAAAAAAGTAGAAAATAATCCAAGAGATACTGGAGTAGATTAAAACAACTTAACCAACCTTCTTCGTCGCCTTCTGGTCGCCAGGCAACGGAGGTGCTATCGCAATATTGGAGAACGGCACCTCCACCGAGTACTTGATGGAGTGCAGCAGCTGCACGACGACGTTCGACACATGCCTGAAGGACAGCTTCCGTCGACCCGACGAGTTGGCGCTCAGCGCACTCCGCACCTGAAGCGTGTTGAACAGCAACGGCTGTTGCCCATAAGCACAACCCAAAAAAACCAAGGGCAAACGAAAAAAAAAGGGGTGGGCCGAAAAAACCGCCCCCACCCAGGAAAGCAAAAAACCGCAGGAAACCCAACAGGACCAAGGAACATGACGTGTGATATTCGCAAGTGCATTAAACCCCAAGTGATGAACGTAAAGTAAAAAATAAAAAACCGAGAGATGAGGAGGAAAAGGTAAGAAAGAAAAGAGAAATACATCCGTCAGTCAAGTCGTCAAGTGGCGTGGAAAAAACCGCATCGTCACGTGATGAACACATTTCAACGATCACTCGAGCAGGACTTTCTTCTCTTCAGAAAACTGCCGAATTTTCATATTTCTCGGAAGTGGCTGAAGGAAACCTCAAAAACACTCCTCCAGGCTTTATTTTTCCAACGCAAAGACGTTCAATTGGGTCAAAAACTGTCCGAATTTGACATAGAATCCTCGTAGTAAGCGCAAAAGGCTTTCGGAATTCATAGAAAAAAAGGAAGGCTTCCAAACGTTAGCAATAACTCTTGAAAGTACTAAAATTGTAATTGCGTTAATTTACCTGCAGCAATTTCAGCTGTAAAAAAAAATCACAAAATATTCGGCCAAACCTCGAAGTTCATGCTCAAGACCATTTTTTGTATCTTTCAAGCTTTTCTGAGCTGCGAAAATACGTGTGACAAATTTTTCGTCCAAATGAGAATGAAGATGAACATGAGAATTATTTTTTTTAATGAAACGATGGCATACTTGACGGTCTTGAGCACATTTCTAGTCGGCATAAAATTTACCAGGTCAACTGGAAGTGTCAGAAAAAAAAAACGAATTACTCGACAAAAAAAGCATAGTAAGAAACTCAACTTGAAGAACTCTCGTGAAGTAATTCGAAACATCATTGGATACAATGCAATATTTTCAGCAATCCATCGACTCATAACAGTAAACATCACGAAAGGTCAGTTAATCCAGAATAAATCCCAGAGTCAGCATCCTTATTTTTATTGAAGCTTCAAAAGTTACGGATTTCTGTGCTGATACTTCATTTTCGGTCGCAATTACTGGCTCAACTCCGTAGCACGATATATTTTTTTATTTGAGTTTTTCACGTTCAGACATTTAGCAGTTGAAAATAAAGAAACAGAAATTCGATCTCACGCAAGTGACACAGAAAACGAACTCCGTATAGAAGAAATACGTAAAATATAAATCAGTCTGTACAGTAAATATTTGACCTAACCTCGTTCATCCCAGTACTGACAGAGTTTCTGACACCTCATCGTAAACAGGAAATCTGGATCTTAATAATGTACACAAGCGCTTCTTCAGAATTTTTTTTAGGTCACGTTTGACGGCAAATGGGGGAAGGCATAGAAGTCTGGCTCCACCCCAAAGAAAAATGTCCTCATAACTTGCGGGAGCTCGTATTTTTCGTTAGTTTGAGATCAACAAGACATCTTCCGATCATGGTGCTGGAAAAATACGAAAGAGAATACACTTCGAACTGCATTAGAAAATTTAAATGCACCTCAGAAAAAAATCTTTATTGAACCGACGGAAAATACTGGACGTCGTTTCAAATTTTTTTTACCAAAGAATATAAAGGAAGATATCATTCTATTCGAAAAATTCTATTTGCTGATTTTGTCAATTGCCGAGGTTCCTTTTCTTCAAGATTATTTAGAGCAAGTATCAAGTTTTACGTAAAAAAAGAGAGTATTATTCGACTTTTTCTTCTGCTTCACGCAATTTCTTTTAAAAGAAATCAAAATACCGTGTCCAACATATTCTTCTCTCTGCCATTACTGTAGTTCACTTCTAAGAAGATGAAGAATTTTTTAAACCTTTCCTTGAACGACGATGAATTAGAAAGAAATCACAGGTAGCATAAACGAATTTCCTAGGGGTGTCTGATTTTCGCTCGCACCTCAAAAAACATTAGCAATTTTAAAAATAAATTATTTAATTTATTTTGTTTATACCGTATCCACATTGCACATAGCTGATCAAATTTTGCAGCTCAAGGATCTTGATACAAGAATGGAAGCATCTTACGAGTGGAATTTTTATGAATTGCCTACTTCAACCATGCATTTGCTGAACTGAATCGTCAATACCAGAGGAATCCCTCATGGTTCGAAAAGTTAAACTGCGCCGATGTCCGAATATTATTTATCGTTACATTCGTGACGAAGTTTTGGGTGGATAGAAAAGGAGAAAATTTTGGAAAAGCGGGAGATCATCTGGAAAAACTTACGGGTTATGAGTTTATTTCATCATCTAACTAACCTGTCGAGCTTTCCTTTGAAATAATACGATGAACAGTTTCGGATTTCGCACGACATCAGACACCCCTTGCGCATCACCATCAAGTTTCTTTGTATTGTACACGAGATAAATCAACTAATGCCATTTTTGCTTCGTCCTTCCAATAGATACACTCACGTGGAACAATGCATCGATTAAATAATTCTCATTTCAGTCAAATAAGCATTGAAGAAAGTCTCCGCGCTCGTCGAAATTATCCGCAGCCCATAAGCACGGTCCAGGTTAATAAACGCCATCAAGACTCGTAGCCGACAAGACAAAAGGCGAGGGGGAAAAATCGCAGTCCGAAGTTGATTTCCCTTTCTTCTTTTATGGGGTTTTGTCAAGTGAGCGCCATCCAACTGAGTTAGCTCAATTATGTGATATTTCCGACGTAGAGTCAAGTACTGTACTGTAGTGTACTGTACTGAACTGTAGACCAGTGTTCCCCTACCCGTGGTCCGCGGACCGGCGCAGGTCCGCAGAAGTTTTGTTTAGAAATTTCCAGCATAAAACATTTATTAAAAGTAGGAATGAACTCTGTTATCAATATCTAAAACTTTGGAAAGACAATGGCAGTTGAAATCATTCGAGGAAAAATAGAAGTTGGCTTTTCTCCCAATAACACTTCAGACACATTTTTACCTGCTGAAATGAATTATTTTACTTTTTCATTCTGAGAAACCTTTCTGCAAGCCCACCTTTCTAAGTTTTTGATGACATTCAGGTACAGCTGCTTCATAGGTGCTCAACTTAATTTTTGCAATAAGCAGGAACTTTTATATACCAGCCATAAACTTTATCAAGCAAAATACTTGTCTTGTCGGGCATGTATGGCTCTTCCTGCCACACAAAATCTTCAGGAAATTTAGGGGAGATGAAAGATTGAAATGCTGCGATTTTTTGAGGTCAAAGGTAGCTTTCTACTACAGCACGGTACTCTACAAAAGGGATCAGACAAAATTCCGCGTTCCCTTCGCAAGAATTTCGGGCATTTGAGGCATATTTTTCCCCTTGTGATTATGGCATCGTCAGGAAACAAATAGCGTTACCCTGGTCCAACATTTGCTTCTCATTTACCGTAAAGTTGACAAGATTTCCTTGAATTTTCTTCAAAATCTCCAGTAATCGGCCAAGATATACAGAAATTCTAACACTAGTTTCGGTCCAAGGAAACATGCGACAGAAACTGGTGTCCATAGAGTTTCTTGATTGTGTGCTTGAGGACTGATTAGCAGTGTCAGCCTTGACGTTTATTTCTGTAATGAATTATTATCATTTTTTGTTAACCGAGAACAGGAAATTTTCCCAGAAATTCCGAAGTCTGAAAAACTCCTGTGATTTTTAAAGTACTTGATTGAATTGAAAGCATGGTGTAAAGTAACTGATTTGCAGCGGAAAAATCACTAGATATTTCGAGGTTAAATAAAAGAAAAATGCAGACAATGATAGAGGTCTGAAGAAATTATCTTTCTTCCTATGCAGCATTTTTACGAAATTAACCTAACTAGTCGATGTTCAATTTAAGTGCTTTTGTACGTGTTCATTCTTCAGCCCTTCGAAATTTATTTTGGTGCTCAAAAAATATACTATTCTTTAGTTGCAGACATTTGCTAAAGAAATTCCCAGTTTAGTTCCTGGCTGATAGAAAAATATTAAATGCATCGATCCCCAAAATCATCTCACTCCTCTCGTTGTTTTTGTTACAATAGCCAGCACGAGTGGTTCTCCGTGGGATGGCGCTCAGTTGGGCGGTGATGCTTTTTTCTTCTCGCTCATTCTCGCGCAATTCAACACCTTCAAACAGGGAATCTCAGACCGAGACAAGCCCGAAAAAAAAAATATAAACAAATAAAAAGAAATGAATAAAAGCAGACCAAGTCGTCGGGATGGATAAGAGATACAGGCAACAGATATTACCTTGCGCCGTCTGGCCGGCGGCACAATGAAGTACGTCGTGATGTTCTTGTCTCGAACATACGTCGACCGCGAAGCTCCGTCCCCGGGCTCAACCTGGTACTCGTTGTTGAGGGCGTCCATCGTGTCTTGGGTGATGTGCACGCGACCGGGCTCGCCGGACGCCTCCATGTAGTTGGCGGTCGTCACGTCGTCCGACCACACGTCGTACTGCCACTTTTTGAGGCCCAGGACACCGCAGAGCACACGGCCAGTGTGGACTCCGACACGCATGTTCAGGGACACGTCCGTTGCTTCCACCACGGAGCTGGAAAATATATTATGGGAAGGTAGGCCTTGTGAATCGATCGAACATGTCACCGAGAAAAAAGAAGCATGGCAGAGAGAGAGAAAAAAAGAAACACACAATATTGTATATCCAGTCAGAACAAAATAAATAAAATAAAAATGCGAGGCGCGCGGGAGGAATTCCTTCACGGCTGTCTAAATCGTGACTTCGTTCCGCGAGAGATTCGATGGAATCCTGGGCGGTCAAGTTCATGGTTGGGCGAAAAACTCCCGATAGTCTTCACCTATCTCCGCCCGCCCAACAAGCCCAGTCAACTAAACACACATTCTTAAACGGGTATTAAATGTTCTTGGACGATATCAAAAGCAGGCAAGCGTTTTTATTTATTCATTTTTTAAAATTCCCAAGTCCTCAGCTTCTTTCCCCAAATCAGAAGATTGTAATTCCACGAAAAAAAAAAATTTTGCATCTGTATCCGAGAACCTTTCGGGGCAACTAGTTTCTTCGAAGACACGACACGCCTTGAACACAATTTCCATTCTAAAAATTCCACACGATGAACGGGTAAATTTTAGGCCGATTTTCAAATTTCAGAATCACAGAGACTATGGGTACTGAGAGGATCAAATATGCCAAGAAAGAGCCTGAAGTGTTCGTGCTTTGAAGTGTTCAGCATAAGTAATACTGTAGTTCCAATTTGCAGAGTGCGGAAATACGACGCTCCGCCATTCAAAAATGAATCCATCGATTTTGACCACGGATTATTTTTCCCTTTCACGGATATTTTCTGGGAAAACACGGTAATGTCGAATACGCGAGAGTTCGGTGAGCCCTCCATCATTCATATCCAACCGTGAATTATCCAAAAATAATTTTACTGATTTTTACTTATTATTCTAACCTGTGAGACCCTTATCATTCATGCTTCAATTGAACTACAAAAACCGTGACTTCGATTTTTAATCCAATTAGTTCCTTGAGTTGCCAACTGAGCTAATCGAAAATCAAAGTAATTAAAAACAACTTAAACATGCCTCAATTTGAAAGCGTTTGAAAGTATACTGTGATGCTCTTCGAGAGTTGAAGGAGTGCTCCGAATTTGAGGTCACTTCGTCTTTGGATACAAGCATTTTTTTTAAAAGACAGTATCTTTGATTAATTGAAGAAAACGTTCGTCCCTTAGCCCTGATAATGGAGGTTCCATCGCAATATGACTTCCGCCAGAAAAAAAGAGGTGAACGGGATTCAAAGCTTATAAAAAAAAAAATACTAAACGAAACCAGCCATCCATGCAAAATCAAGACAAGACCCACACATTTACATTACCCAGGGAATGAGATCGGTCACAAAAAAAAGCCACACGTTCCCAACCATAAAATAGGCAAAAAGGCGCAGCAAAAGTATATAATGTTCATAGTTTTTCTGCTATAAAAAAAAATAGAAAAATATAGTTTTCTCACTGAATCGCGTCGATCATATCCAGCCCCATCTCGACGGCGCATTGTGCGTGATCCAACCGAGGCTCTGGCAATCCAGAAACACAGTAGTAGCAGTCACCCAGGATCTTGATTCGCAAGCAGTGGTTGTCCTGCGAAAAAAAGAAAGAAATAACGACTGAATTATCGAGACCATCAGGGTACACTGTACATAGTAGGTTACTCGATAATCTTCAGGTATTTGCTACGTGTCCGACGGTAATTGTAGGTTTTATCAGACACCCCAATAATTCTCGCAGCTTGACGTTGAACCGACAAAATCCAGCGATAAAGTCAGCTGCGTTGCCTACGGATATCTTCAGGCTGCGAAAGAAATAATAACTTGCCCCTTGCCTTCATTTACTCAAACATACGACCTATTTTTCCCCAGTTAAAAAAAATTAGAGTGCGCCATTCTCGTACTGCAAATTCATTGGCGCCTTACAGTCGACGACATACTGCTTTTTACATGCACAGTTACTGCTTATGATTAATGCAATATTAAAAAAAATAAATTGGAATGAATTCACCAAATCCTCAATACGAATACAGGTGGACACTCTACAACGATCTTCTCTGCATAACGATTTTTTGGGTCCCTGAGGGATCTCTTCCTGAGTTATAGGGGTTCTCAACAACGATTTTCTTTCTGGTTCCTTTCTTGTGGTTAATTTCGTTGCAGAGAGAGAGTCCACCTGAATCAGATTTTTAACGACAGAAATATTTCAGTAGTAAGAAGGTCGATTACTGAGAAATGAGCCTTGAAACACTGACTATTTTCTAAACCATAATTCAGTACTCATTTCGAATCCTTCTAAGCACTTGAGCAGCTAATTTACGTAGCTACTTATCAAGTTAATGAGCTCATGATCGACATGAAATAGAAAATGAAGACTAGGAAGACTCGGGTGCGGGTTTAAAATGAACTAAATTTTGAAGAACCTCGATTAAAATGGTCGTGTATTCGCGGGCGAAATTAATAATCTGCAAGCACCCAAAATGAAATAAATAAATAAGACACGACATATACAGAGTATTTGAGAAAGAGTTGTAGGGGCTAAAGGAGAACCCATTTTTTTCTTATTTTTAATTCATGCCGTCGATAATTCTCCCCGGTCAACCAGCTGGCAATCCCATTCTTCGCTCTGTTCGCAGTAACTCGAGAACCGGTGCTTCGCCGAGATTGAGTGTCAACAAACCGCACAAACGAAGAAACCTCGCGGATGTGGCTTTGGGCAAATAAATCAACAAACCATCGTCACGACAGCTTCTGCACGCAATGCGTTCATGGCCGGAAGCGAATCGCATTAGAAGAACATAAATAGAAATCATGGCCCTCGTTAGCCGTTCCCACGGAAACCTCGGGCCAAGGAAAAAAAGAAGAAGAAATGCAAAGGACAAAGCAATCATACGAGCCTCAAAGCTTTAGAAATATTGTACTGTATTGAATACCGTATTTGTTATATGGAACGCGGCGTCAAACAGACAATGGCAAAGTACTGCTTTACTACAATATTTCAGTACCGTTTTGAACATTGTGAGACTCGGCGATACTTTACAGCAAAGTGTTCCGCGTTCGGAACTCTGAAACGCCCGTTTTATGAAATCAGTAAACCCCTTCGCAAGCAATACTTTTTTTTACGCAGGAAAAATGGAACAACTTTTTGTTTAAATCGACCATAAAACATGGGGTCATTGCTTCAAGTAATATTTTTAGAAGCCAGCAAAACAATGATTAACTTTTTCAGTTGCATAAAGATAATAGAAATTACAAATTGCTACTCAAATCAGATCCCATCCACTGAAACCTGAGCGCAACTCAGTCAAAACGTTGTGAATTTCTTTCTTGTTTCAACGGAGCTTATTTTACGTAACATCGTTGGATAATTTGCTCCAAATTTTCAGATGATTCTGTACTTTCCGTTTTAGTTATTTATTCATTGATGAGCTTCCACCACCAACAGCTCCCAGGAAATTATAAAACTGTGGATCCAAATGCTCACTGCAAACAAAGGAATGTTCTGCTATTGCATCGGTATCTCGAGTCCGTCATGTCATAGTTCAGTGGACTTCAAACAGTACTTATATAAAGCTCCAGGATTCAAATCGTCGATCAAGCACATTACACAAGGGTAGCAGTTGGTCTTGGCAGGCATTATGACTCACTGCTGTTCTCATTTTCAAAGAACCACTGGATAAAAATCTGCTGATTGCGTGACAATCGTGGTTCCGAGCCCTGGTGGATACGCCCCGGACCGAGGAATCATAAATATGCAGCACTGTGCAGTACTTGAGCGACCCGATGATCCACTTCTTAAGGTATCTTTTCAACGTGGTTCAACTGCGCACCTCACTTCGAATGAGGTTTACCTTCTTCCTACAATACCGCAGGAACGTTAGCTTATATTTATTTCTAAATATGCAGCCAACATTCTTAAATTCGGCCGCGCCTCAAGCGATAAACAACGTGAAACAATGTTCTGTAGTTCCTAATACAGTACTGTAATGGTGGACTCTCTCTCTCCAACGATTTTCTCTACATAAAGCCTTTTTTGTTCTATAGGGGTTTCTCCCCATGTTATAAGATGTTCTCTACAATGAAATTCCCTCTGCGACGCATTTTTCCATTCCTTTGAATTTCGTTGTAGAGACAAGTCCACCCGTACCCCCATTTTCTCAACCGAAGGTGGTGTTGTTAACTTTTCAAACATAAAAAACTCGGAAAAATTAAATTCAAATTTACAGTACTGCTTTACAAACCCATATTCAACATGCGTTTGGTCAAGAGAATTTGCGGTTTTTGTTTTTCTTCGCAGCAAGTTTTCTAGTTGACAAGTCACGTTGCAAAATGGAGACGTTCAACCCTACGGTCACACGCCTACCCTAGCATCATAAATAACGACACATTTAATGAACGTCGCAATCCCTAGAAGGTAGCAAAATTAGAAATAGAAAAGAAGGCGAAGACTCGGGTAATCATGAGAAAACAGAGAACATGGATGAAGGCGGAGCATTGCACCAACAGCGTCAGCGTAATGAATTATTCCGACCCGGGTCGACAAGAGGCTTGCGACACAAAAATCCTAAGGCAGGCAGGCAGGCAGGTGCACTCCCCGCAACCCGGCCCAGAACAACACCCGCCGCGGCACCACACAATCGGGCGTCGGCCACACGAACTACTTTGTGGCTCTTTGTGTGACTGGTGCGTTGTGCGTTTGGGTGTGAAGGAGATCTGAACTGCTTTTACCAGCTCTCTTTATTAAACTACCTTTACGTTAGCCCTCTCTCTCTCTCTCTCTAAAAAGGGAAGTACGTACAGTATTTAGATATTATTTACGGCGTCCAGTGGGTGGCATGCAGAAAAAGCGGCGGAAACGCTTAGGAATTCTTTGACAAGAAGGCGAATCAACGGAAAGCTTTGAGCAAAATTCTAAGATCAATAACTCCGCGGCACATCGGCTTTAATACTCACTTCTTCTGATATTCGAGCTTTTGATCCCGGCTCTTCTGATACTTGCACCTCTAAAAATCTCTCGCCAGCACGGCACTGAATTTCATCGAGTTATTATTATTGTGGTCGTTGTAACCCGATTTTTCTCACAACAACCACACTTACAGAAATATATTCCACGCAACAATTTTATTTTTGTCTGTCTCCATCAGACCTTCCATTGATGACTAAGGACTCCAAACGGTAACTTCAATCACAATACATGATAAATTTCCATTTCCGTTCACCAGGGAATCAATGCAAAAAGGGTCGACAGGAACTTGCACTGTTACCAATTTCCTCTTTGGAGGCATTGCACCTTTTCGGTGATGGCATTTGGAAGACAAGTTTGTTTTCCTGCACTTTCGGCTTTAATTTGATACTTGCCTTGAGGTAAAAGGCAAACGCGGACGCATAACTCGCACCCGACCCCAAAAAATATTCCTACAATTTCAATTAGGTCATTATACTTAATCTATAACATAAAAATTAGCCAAATTCGTCTCCCAGTTCTTTTTTAATTCAGGTTATCAACATTGAACTAAGCTTTCAAAACCTATAACCCTTAATATTTTTCCTCGAGGATTATCCCGAGTTGTGAAGCCCTCGTAAAGAGGAAAAACCAGAGATTTCTTGAAGAAAGAACAACTGCTCAATACAGTATATACTGTACATACTTCCGATCCTTCACGCTTGACTTCGATACACATGAATACAAATGGGAAATGCGGTACTTGAAGAAAAAAAATCCTTAGCAAGCAAAATACAATAACACAAAAAGTAAAATAAAAATGCTAGCAACGCAGTCAGCCACAAGAAGTGCACATCAAACCCACCCCCCAATGCATCAACTTCAGTACTCACGTTTGCCAGTTGGTCGAATCTTCCGAAAAGCTCATTGAGGAGGCGGACTAGCTCTTGCGCAGAGCATTGAGAAGCAAGGACCGTGAAACCCACGATGTCAGCGAACAGAATGCTGAAAAGAACAAGATAGATTCCGATGAATGAACACCGGAAGACGATTGGATGACACACGTGATTTCACCGCGAAATCCGAGAACCATATTCCATGTTTCCTCTTCTTTTTTTATTTTTCGATTTAACAAATAAACCCAGCCAAGGAAATGATGCGGTTTGAAAACTTCATCGCCCAAATTTTAATAATTCCGTTTTTAATCCGCTAAAACGCCGGGCATCGACTCATACAGCTACTTCATTTTTCACGTAGCGTTCTAGAATCTAACGCAGTGGTTCGAAACCTGCGCTCAGCTTTTCCTCAGGGGCCTAGAATCTAGAGGTCTAGAATATCTAGACTCTAGAGGACGTGAAAGACGGAAGAAATCTCCATTTCTAGAACAAAGGTCAGGCAAGGAATTACTCATAACTACGGTAATGGCAAAATCATTGCAAGACACCGGGTATGTAGTTCTGAAGCTCCGCAATAGAAATACATTAAAATCTCGTTACAACGAAGAGTTTTACACTTTATAAAAGCTTCGTTATAACGAAATCAGAATAGGATTATGGCGACAGGGAAGGGTAAAAAAATCCTTTTAGGCAATAGTTCTTTTTGTCGTAACGAGATTATACTGTACAGTACCTCCCAAGAGGGATTCACCGAAATTTTCGATTTTGAAAATTACTTCTCAAGATGAAAGGTAAGGGCAATCGGACGTAGAATCCTAAACATTTGTCTGCGTTCTGCGCGAGGTCAGAAATGAATATTCTTTTCTCTTTTAAAACTTGTTCCAATCATCAGTGTACCTATGGTTAGTCCCCAGGCACTCAGCAGCACCCAGACCATTGTAGACAATCAAGAAGATTCATAATTAGCAATCTTGAATTGGATTGAAAAACAGCAAATTCGCACACGCGCGATCTGATCATCTTTAGGTTACTTCGTGTCCTAACTTCCGATTAAATCCTACATTTTTCTCGAGAAAAAAATTGGACACAAATTATTAATTGGAAACGCAAAATAGTTTGGATAATAGTTCAAATCGATTCCGTAAGACTTCACACGGAAATATTCAATCCCGGCATGCAAGCCATTATCCACAAGTGGCTGGAATTCAAGAATTGCATCTGGTCTCTAACATGTTTTACTGCAAAAAAGAATGACTACGCAAAAACAAACATGACGAGCATTCCAGTGAAGAGGAGTTCGATGTTCCCTGTCAGACACGTCCCAGAAAAACAAACACAGTAAGAAGTATTCCGCTACAGTCAAACAAAAAAAGACAACCTGAACCTTGGTCGTCATTCTGTCGACCCTGACTTCTGACATTCTGAAGACAAACGGTGACATTCTTGCCAGCTAGCGCGAACCGTGTGCCGATATTTTTCTGTGCCTGCCCTCGAACAAGACCCGCTAGACGCTTAGACTTCGCCAAACTATGAAACGGGTCAACAACTTTTTTTTTCTTTAAGACGGACACACTTCTTGGCGAATTGATTTCCACAGATGAAATGTAATTTGTAGAAGGAATGAAGCAAAAGCTTTTTCAGAGTAAAAATAATTAAATTAAAAGTAAAAATACATGATGATCATGTAAAGAAGGACGTCTTCACTGAACTTCTTTTTCATTTCTTCGGCCTATCCTTTAACATCGGTTCAATCAACATGCCAAAAATTTGTCAGGAATCAGCGATTTAAAAAAATCGAAATTCAAACAATGTTTCCAAAACATTCAAGGAATACTATAGAGTTTTAGACAATAACTAAATACAGCTATGAAAAGTGTTTCCAGAAAGAAAGAAAACACATTCAAGGGTTCCAACTAATTTTTCGAAAGTTTAAAAATGAATTCAGTCTACAACTTCTCTTGATTGGTTTTACGAATCCCAGATTCGTCTCACGCATTTCTTCCATGTTCCAGCCAAGTTTTGAACGAAGTGAACAAGCATCAAGACCATCAGCCTCAAAAAGTAGCCGGTCAAGACGAAAAAGAAAACTTTTCCTCTTCAAATTTTATGCAGACGAGAAAATTATTTCCCGGGAAATTTATTTAACATGCACACGCAAGTGAAACTTGTTCAGACAGATACATTCCACTGACAGAAGCCCAATTCCTCAGAACGATTTAGATGGAAGTAGAACTTCCGGTCAAATGCTCAAATACAACACCAGATGAGCAATTTGGGGACATTTGAGAAATTAAAGGATATTTCTAAATTCTGGACGCAAAGAAGTACACGGCGGGTCTTGCAGTAGATCAACAAATTTCGAACGAGACGAAATGTCGCCTCAGGCAATAAGAAAGAACGATGTTTTCGACTGACCTCCCCAGTACGAGATTAGATTGCATCATAGCTAAGATGTAAATCAATAATACACGCCAGCGACTCAACAAACGTTCTTGATTCGACACACCCACAGCCAACACCCAAAAGCTCGATAGAGAACGAGATTAATCGGGAATCCCCTTATTTTCGTACAGAAGCTGATTTTTTTTACGCACCAAACAATTATTCTGGAGTCCCTCTTTTCTTTGAACTTCAGGAATTGTACAGAAAAGCATGAGAAATTGTTAAAACATTTTGCCAGTCTTAACATTTCTTTCTTTAAATGCTGTTAAGGGAGATGGACACAGTTTCGAAGGACTACAGAAAAAAAATTATTTTTCTCCCACTTAAATTGCTTTTTTTTTCACTCGACACGAAATCGACGGAAACCAGAGTAGAAATTACACCCCAACACTACGGGAAAATGAGGTTCACCTACCATATTTGCATGATTTGTGAATTCGCAGTCAGTCAATTGCTAAAAAATACAGGACCTTCAATAGTTCGTAATGTCCTCACGAACGATGCCAAAGATCTGAGACACAGAATTCACGATATCCAGTAGTGCCTTGCTGTGGAAAATTTTTGTTGTAGTTACGCAAGACGAGAAAGCTGTCATACAAATTCGAATGGTGAGCAAGATTCAACGAATGCAATTGAAGTGAATATTGAATGATGAAGGACTTGTTTCCGGGTCTTGCAATTCATATAAAAATGGTTTGAATGGATCTGACCTAAAATGTCGGGTACCCAAAAAACGAAAATTTCCAGGCACAGCACTGAAAAGGAAGCAACCATTCCTCGTATAATGCTAGCGAACCTCGATGCCTTTAAATGACGTTGAGGAAAATCCCTGCGTCATTAAAATATATACAGTATATATATATAAATTCGTTACCACGAATTTCCCCGATTCGACGAGTGTTCCCGGTAAACAAAACGTGACATTTTTTTCAACTCTCATGACCTGGTTTCTACGTTACAAGTTCCACTAACTCGCATACGATTTGCTTGTCCACCCGAGAATAACAAGTACTGCACTCAGAGGAAAGCACTTAGAGACACTGAACAACAAACCAGAGCGGAAGCTCGGTCCCGAGTTGAAAACATTTTCAATGCCCGTCCAAAAAAGGTCACGAATCCTTCTACAAACATTCACCAATCTCCACGACAAAAGTTGTTAAAAACACACACAGCACAATTGAGCAGGCAGAAAGAGAGCAAAAAAAGAAAGCATTAGCAATAGTACATGGCAGCCCTTCGAAGAATAACATGACCGGAATTACAGCGCAAAGAACCAACTTTGAAATTATGTTAGTTCAACGAGATTTTCACGATAAAATGGTAGATTTGTTTTCCCATGAAAACTCATCCGAAAAAATCATTCCGTTCAAAGTAAAAAACGAGAAAACTTTCACATGAAAAAGATTGCATGAAATGACTCGTCATTCGTAATCCTTCATCAGTGAGTCCAACATTGATTAATGGCACAGTGTTTGGCCTCATTCCTTCAATGATCAAGAATCTAAATTCCTCGTTAACTAATCAACTGCACACAATTGAAACCAGCTAGATTTCGTATAAATGATGAATACTTAAATTCACCCGTAAGAAAAAGCAATGCTTCCTTCTTACAAAGAATTAGAAAGCGTAATTCGGAAAAAAGAGACACGTTAATTATTTGTTTATACGGCATGCGGTTTGTTGCAAGTCATCTTATCAGCGGGATACTATTTCATCGAACGAAACGTTCTTTGCATGAGGCAACAAAAAATATTCCTCAGAACAAGACCAGGCGAGAAATGTTGTAATAAATGCTGGCCTTCCACCAGCTTCGATATCCTTCTCATTTACGAAATGGAATAATCGCGAAACTCATTCGTCGTTCGGATCCATCTGGCACTTACCACTCTATCATCTCTCAGTTCGACGAATCACGAAGGCATAGAAGAGGGGCCCCCCCACAAGAAAATGCGGCCGACGTCGAAACGAATGCCCATTCAACGCTTCGGTTCGGTTCCCGGCACAGTTTATCATTCTAGTTAGTGCAACCAAGCACTGAGGGCTGTCGAAAATTTAGTAAGTCTACAAAACGTGTTTCATTCTCACGCATCGCTCGGCTAAAAGCGTCTGCCGCATTTGATCAAATCAAGGCGCCATCCATTACAAGGCGAAACTATAATCTTTTTTTTATAAATTAACTATATAACTATATTTATTTATATTTTAACTATATTTTTTTTATAAATTTGTTGTCCATTCGTAAATGGAAACAAAATTAGCCAGCGTATTCGTGACGCACTTCTGGAATTAGCTCATGCGTTCTTTGAAAAAAGATATCGTACTATTGGGTCGTCTAATTGAATTTCACCAAATTTTCATTCAAGAGATTGCGTTGGTCTTGAATAGAGTATTTCCCCGGGGAATAATACATGGAGCCATAACATGTGTAAGATACAACATGTAGCCGGTATTTTTCACGTCAAATTTTTCTTCAAAAAAACTGCGCGTCTTATATTCGAATAAATACAGTTCATTGAATAATTCACGAATAGAAAGTGCCTGAGTTATTTCGACTTGCGATCATTTTCTTTGGGCTGATGGACTGCACGCGCAAATAGAACAAAAAATCAACAAGGATAGCGATAATATTTTGAAATATTATATGTAAATGTTATGAAAAAGGAGCTGGACAGATTTTCGTCACTACATTACCGGAAATTAGTCCTAGCTGCTGAAAAACTAAACATGAAAATCGAAGAAAAATGTTTATTGTGTC